CACATTAATACCTTTCAGTGAACCGCGGTAACACAATCCATTGTATGAATATTAAATGCCAGACCATTGTGGTGCCCCCTGAGGCTGCTAAGTGAAAACCCATACATTACAAGACATGGGGGTTGGTGTCATATTAGAGCTGTGCAATTTTAAATAGCATCTTTCAACCACAAACTAGCCTTTTTCATACTTGACTGGTTGCAAAAATAACTAGGAATAAAGGTCAAGTGAGTGGGTTTTTCTATTTTATCTTTTAAAAAGAAATGTACTTGCAAAAGAAGATGTGTTTTTCATGAATGGGAGTTAACCTAGCATGAAATTGTTATGCATTTATGAGTCTTTAAGGACAGCTACATTTTAATTTGATTCCTAAGATGACAGCCATCAGTCCGTTTCTGTTAGCCTCCCCTAGCACAATTTTGCCCAAAATGATATGCCGAGCACTTTCAGCTTTGATCTTTCTAACAAAATAAACTTTATCTCACAAAAACATTTCACAATAACCTCACCCTCTAACAAGATATCCATCTCACATCAAAGGAAAACCTTCTAAATCAGGATATTGTCCATTATCAGCCAGTGCAAGTGGATGCTGGGGCCAGATCTGCACAATGAAAGAGTCCCTCTAAGCCCTACCACTTGCTGTTGTCCAGGCCTTTTCCCTGTCCTGGCCCTGAAACTGTGGCCGTCCAGTCCTCCGCAGGAGCTCAGGGAACAGGGATTCCTGTTTTCGTCCCTGTACAGGGCCCACAATCCCTTCCAGCGCTCCCTCGCCAGCTTTGGTCTTTAGGCTGACAGCTGAATTATTCTGAAACACCTCCCACTAACCAACCAAGGCCATCTCTGTAATTATACCACAGGTTATGGGAGGAGAAAACAGAATCTGGAGGATATGTTCAAACTATTCTGAGTTCAGCACCTGGGCTTCTATCTGTATGGCGCTTGTATGAGTTCCCTGTGGTTGTGGGGGTTTCTGCTACACAACCTCCCACAGCCCCAAGACATAGTGGGAGGTGAATTGGTCTGTGGGAAAATTGGCCTGGCTGTGAGTGTGTCCGTGTCTGTGTGTGCTCTGGGATGGGCAGGCATCCTGTCCGGGATGTACCCCGCCACGTGCACATTGCTAGCTGGGACAGGCACCCCGTGACCCAAAATTGGATGAAAATTAGTGGGCAGTTACAAACGGGATGGATGGACATACAGACACATCTTTTGAAATACAATTCAATGCCTTGGGTTCTAATGCACCATAATTTATATTAATAGCTACATTTATAATTGCCAGCAGCCATATCACCCTGTAACTCACAACTGGCAACCCACTAAAACTAAGCAGGGCTGAGTCTGGTCAGTAACAGGTTGGAAGACCTCCTGGGAAAGCTATGGTTGCTGCTGGAAGAGGTGTTAGTGGGACCAGTGGGTGGTGCCCACCCTGCGGTCTGTGGGGGTCCTAATGCTCCAGTATACTGGCGGGGACACTATACTGTAGTGGACACTGTCTTTTGGATGAGATGTTAAACTGCGGTCCTGACTGTCTGTGGTCACTAAAGATTTCTCGATAAAGAGTAGGGAGTTATCCCGGTATCCGGGCCAAATTTCCTCCCCTCAGCCCTTACTGTGGCCTCCAAATTGTCCCCATGTATGATTGGCTTGCACTTGCCCTGCGATGGACTGGTCCCCTGTCCAGGGTGTGCCCTGGGTGTACCCTGCCTTGTGCTCATTGCCGGGTAGGTTCTGGCTTCTAGCGACACCATATGGTATTAAACAGTTAGACAGACAGACAGACAGACATTCATAATTGAAATGACAAAGTGAATAGAATGATTTAATATCGGAATGATTTAATAAATCAGATAATCTAATTTCCCCATATTGTTTTCCACTTTAAGAGAGGTTGAAATAACAAAAGGCATACCATAGAACACATGGCAAATTTGATTCCCTTCTTAAAGGAAAATAAAAAAAAAGTAATCCGTTTTTCCACGGATTACATTCTATTGCTGCTTGTTCCGAGCCCTCTCTGCAGCTCTCTTGAAGGTGAAGCCTCAGTGATCTCCCTAATAAAACTGCCAGAACTGCCATTTATATAACTTTTGCTTCCTGCAAAAAAGGAACTACCCCGAGAAGACGACAATAGCCGGTTTATAAAAACCCGAAACACCACAACAGGAAAGGATGACTACACCCTGTTCAAACACAGGAGACTGTGTGATCACTGTAGTGTTTCTCATGAAGTGCGGACTTATTTTAAGTTCGCGGTAGCAATTTATACACACAGAAAATTCGTTTATAAGGGATTATAAATTTAGTTGAGAAAAGGCAAGATGTCACCATTGTTACGAGGGACAAATTTTGTTTGAACCAATCTTTATAACATCAGCTGCCTTTTGATGGTAAACACTTTCATTAACAGTTTTGCCATTACAATGTACTGTACTGTAGTTATTCGCGATTCAAAGCCTTTTGTCGGTGTCGATGTTGTTGAAAATCTACCTTCTAAGAGTTATTTCACATGTAAATTGTATTTCCGACGCACTATTCATTACAAAGCACTATTAAGGTTCTATATCACCTTACATTACAGGTATCAGTAATTGATTTCAATTACTACTTAATCAAATGTTTTAATTAATACTCATGTTTGAGCTCGTATTATTTAGAGAACGACGGTTTGGTTAAAGCTTCAAACAAAAACAGAAAATCGCAATATTACGAAAAATGTACACAATAGTGAGCGTAATGACTTGTAATAGGCGTGGAACTTAATTACGCATAACTAAGGTAAAAACCTGACCTGGGGTCATTTTACCATACAGTAATAGGGATAAGCATACTTTTTCATTTCCACGGTTTAAAACGTTTTTTAAAACACGTGTCAGAATACAAAACAACAACAAAAACATTTAAAACCCACTAACGGACTTTCTCCGCCGGCTTGTTTGTCGTTCTCCGTGATGTAAGAAGATGAATACACTCACAGCAGTGACCGAATCGCGTATCAGTGGGGGACCTGTGTGTCTAAACCGGGTCAGACACCAGACCCCCTGGTCACCAGCCCTGCAGTTTGACCTCGCAGCGGGTCCGGTTCAGTAGCGTTAATGACTGACCACAAACACACACAGGGCTGCCTCCTGACAGCTCTAGTTTACAGAATACTGTAACCACGGGAAATTAATGTTATTCCTGGGGCTCTTAGGGGAAAAAAAAAACGGCGTTGACAAACTCATTTTTTATTTAAATACAAAAATAAATATACTCTTTCAATAATTTATCCAGCTTTACCCACCTCCCGACGAAAATGTAAATATGTTTTTAACATTAAAAACAGCTTTTATAGAAGTTCTAAAAATCTTACAGTTTGTAATTGGACAGCCTGAATCCCCTCTGTTTACCTCCAATATGATAATGATGAAGGTTAAAAATATTTAAAAAGCATTTCCATGTTTTTGACTAAGTGCACGGGAACATAACATATTGCACACCTGACGTTAAGACACCAAGTACAGTATATACCCAGTAGGTTACATAAGACGACATCCTCTGCAAACACTCTGCAACAAAATAATACAATATTAATATACACTTAGTACCAATTCTCAACTGGCTAGGGTTTCACTTCACACTTAAATTTTCATTTAAATTTGTAATAACACAATAAAACCATACATAGCCTTGTTAGAGACGGTATAAATCATAAATTAACTCCAAAGGTAATTCCGAATGGTTTATGCAGCTAAAACACTCTTCTAAATTTGCATCCTTCACGGTTCACGTATTTCGTGCGATGCCGAGTTATACTAAAGAGACATTTTAAAACTGTATCTGACCACATTTGTATGTGGTTTCTTGATAAGTACCGTGTACATGATTGGATCGCAACCCGAATCGCTGAGCGGTTTGTAAAACTGTGCCATATGCTTAGAGACAACCTATTGATTTTGGTTTTAACTTCATCGCAACCAAAAGCCTAAGCCATGGATACAATATGGCTTTTATCTTGACAGCTATAGAGTTTTTTTTTATATTTACCTATCTTGTATTATGGAATATCCGAGACTAAATTGAATATAATTCGTAGGCTCGTATATACTGTACAATATATGTTGAACATTACAATAGGGTGCCCTGACGATATCGCGCATCCATCCCTCCGCGTTGTAATCGCTTAACCCGATGCCTGGTCTTGGGGGATCTGGGCAAGCAACGGGGTCAAAGCGGGGGGTACACCTTGGAGGGGACCAGTGTACTGGAAGGTCCATCACAGATACAAACACTCACCGCCATGTCTTTGAACTAGTGTAAGGGGAACGCCCCCCACAACGAACAAGGGGAAAACACACAGACTCCATGCAGACAGCACCCCAGGTACAGAATTGTACCCAGGTCCCCAGCGCTGCGAGGCAGCAATGCAAACCCCTGCACCATGGTGCCGCACAGTGTAATAAGATAAGGTGTAATCATGCTGAAGTTCTTCACCGACATCCACTTGTTGTAAAGTCTTTAAGAACCGAAAAAAATGGAAATCGAGATATAAAAGAAATGATGTTTTTTTTTTCGGCTGAGGATAAAGAGTTTTTCGTCCTGTTGAATGTTCTTGGAATGTACCTAACTTCCACTGACTGTGTAACAGCAATAGCTGTAGCAGCTTTTGGGGAATTTTAAAATCGTTTAAAATGGATTACATACACGACTTGAATTCAAAACTACTCACGAGCGGCGCTTTCTTTGCGTAAAAGATGACGGGTCCGCTTGCCCTTGATGCACAGATTGTTAAAGATTGCAAGCAAGAGTTACAATTTATAGAGGATTCTTTAAAAGGTATCTCTTGCTGTGTAACACCTGGCAGTGCCATAATTTGCTGCCCTGTGATTGGCGACCTTCTTTTACCCTTATTTCAATGGAAGATTTTATTGTAATGTTTCGCTGTCAATCCGAGCCTTGCGCCCTCCCCGTCTTTCCAAATATGGCGCGTACAGCTGTCTTCTGGCACAAGCCTGCCAGTGTTTTCGTCGGTGAGCGCTGAGCACGCAGAAGGACAGCGATGTGTATAGCTTTGCAAACATTTCAAGTTGACGATGGAGCCTTTTAAACCGCTTGCGCTGGTTCTTTGGATTTTAATGCTGGAAAGGAGGCGATACGGCAGCGCTGAAGAAGGTTGGTGTTTTTTGTTGTTGTTTATGTCTAGAGTTGACCGGTTGTCCACGGGAACTGTGGGATTCTGTCCAGCTGCAGGTGCACTGAGACAAGAGTTAAAATGGTTGGCTTTTATGGAAATAAAAAAAGTTAGAAACGTTAACACGTGAAATCCCTGTGAGCGCTCGGCGTTTCCAAGTCCCCTCCAAAGAACTGCCTTCATACCAAGTGGGATAAACCGGCCATGTGAATCGAACGCCTTGATGTTTAAAGTTAGTGATTACGGTTGCTGTTAGCTTATAATACGCGTGGTTTACAATGGCAAAAAGTGGTTTAAGGCAAAAGTAACGCGTAGAAGTGCACTAGTAGTAATAGTGAAAGTATTAGATAATTTCAGGATTTAGTAAATGTTATACTACGAGCGGTTGATTTATACCTTCTGGGATGTATAGTATCTTCTGCACTCGTGAGGCATAATTTGTGAAAAATCTTTTTCGAGCGATTTCACAGAGGTTAAAGCACTTTACGCATCCTTATTGTAACAGATTTGTTATCGGATATTTGATGTTAACATGGGATTTAATAAACGTAATCTATAAACGATCACGAATGCACATACAATTGTATTGGTAATTTACAGATTCGTATAATGAACTCGTGTGTGTACTGGCTGGATAATCGAATTTTTAAATTGCCTAATGTTGCAGGAGTGGTTAGAGACTATACTTACAGTACTGAATGTGATGGCCATAAATGTAGCAATGACCGGAATTTAAATTGCAGCCTAGACCTTCAACATGCACTATGAGTATGTACTAATATCATTACAATATATCATAGAATTATATTCCAGTACGTAATCGATATTCTGGTGCAAGCGCTGAGGACGAGTGAACAGAAGTTTGTAGTTCACCGTGAAGTCAGAAACGCCAGTCTGACGAAAACTTCTAAGGATACAGCACCCAATTTCCATTTTCACTTACTGTTGACTGCCTGTATTCGTTATTCAGACATAAGCCTCATAAATACAGAGTCCATGAACTGTTGAAGGTCTAAGGGTGCATAATTATATCGATTTAAATGTACACTGAAGCTGCTATGAAAGTTCAGTAGTTCTTGCGTCGAGGTCTGGCTTCTAAGAAGACTGGTGACTCCAGGTGAGAATCCAGCAAAATACGCAAATAAAGGATGAATGGACTCTTTATTTTAACCCGTTTTCTGCTAATTCGATAATAGCGTTGTGATTCTGGAGGCTCTAAGCCTATATAGTCTGTCCGATTGATCAGTAGTGAACAGTGATCAGCATCTACAAAGTAAACCGAAACTTAAATAGTCTTGCATCTTTGTAACTTTTCCTTGTGCCCCATTCCCAAGAGAAAGTGTCGCAATACCGAATTAATTTAAACGCCGTGGGCACCGTATAGTGTACACCCCACTGCTCAATATTCACTATGGCTTTAATTCCTGTTTTCCCCGGAGGGTGATTTTGTACGTCGACATATTTAAAACACCCCGGGAAGCACAAGTGTGTATAGTGTTCATATTGGGTTTTCCCGGATGAGAGGGGAGGAATAGAGCTGTTTTGGTAAATAAGAACGCTTATATTCAACGCTGCAACAGTAATCATTTAACTGTTAACCTTGTTGTGAAAGAAACGTAGACGATAAACAGACGACAGAGTACTTTAATAAATAAACCCGTAACTCTTTTCTTCTGGGTATAGAATGTTTTCTCGCTGAACATGGCGTGGACTCGCGGGGATCGGGGACACCACCGCAGCCTAGTCCTCTTTTCGCTGACTTCAATACATTTGGACTTTTAAAGAACAAAATGTCACTTTAAAGCATGACTGTGGAGCTAACGCATTGCACCTACAGTATACAGCTCAAAAGAGTACTTTGCATCAGAAAAAGGACAAGACCACTTTCCTTTTCTAATAGAAACTTTAACAGAAACACTTTTACTGTACATGTTCACGGAATTCTGAAAATGTGCAGTTTGTTCATTCTTTTTCCTTGTATATTTGAAAAAAAGTCTTTGCCAAACCACTAAATTCGTTCTTTCCACTCTTCGTCGCTATCGGTATGTTCCTAAAGTCGCTTCTAATCCGAACAATATTCATATCCAGTACTGAATCATTGGTTTAAAAACACTGTAGTCTTACGCGCAGTGGCCTGATAATCGTGTCTAGATCCGTGTTAATTATGCGCTGTTGTGACACTTTTGTTTTTCAACTACGTGGCTTGCGCACATACATGTAAATGTACGAGACAACCTGTGGTTGGCGCAGGAAACGACAGATGATAGTTCCTGCTTGTCTGTAAAATCTGACATACAGTAGGCGCCTTATCCGACGACTGCATTGTGGTGGTGACTGGCTCGGAACAAATTGCTGTGTCAAATAATAGTTGCATGTTAAGAAAAAAAATATCAACCTTGTCATTCCTCATACGATTTAGAGAAAATACCCTTTTTGTGGTACTGCCTACCTGAACAATGCTGATTTACGCAGGGATGAGTATATTGTGTTTAAATGTAGACATCTTTGATAAATATAGATTGGTAATTTAGTTACAATTTTACAACATTTTTAAAGCCTGCCACTTGATTTTTGTGTCAATGTGCAATCTTGAATGTGTCCCTTCACTTCTTATGTCATTGAAATATCTCACACGACTCTAAAAAGTAGTTAAAGCTGTAGTAGATACATTACTTTAAAATTGAACTTCTTTAAATGCTGTACAGTTGAGCTAGCAGGATGATACAATGTAAAAAGGGTGACTGCAGGTGTAATTTCTAGAGTTTATAATAAAATTTGATTAAAAACAAATTATGTATTAATGTTAATAAATTATATATCAAATGCCATCTTACGTATCTATTTTACCATCAAGATTAAGTGTATTTTGACAGGAAAACATGCATTTATTCATCTCCATATTAAAGTCTGCAAAATTTACTTGTGATGTGAAAATATTAAACTATGCCATATGAAGCATGTTAATTCATTTTGAGAAACAGTACTGCCATTCAATTCATTAATCATTGAAAGATTATATCAGGGATAATAATGACATTCATGCCCTTTATTTCTTATTTGGCTATCGCAGTATCTGAGAGTCAGAAAGTGTTAGCTGTCCTATTTGTATAACAATGATTAAATTAATTTACGTTAACTGACGTAGACTAGTACAATTAAGATCCTATCAAAAGGTATTGAGCATTTAATTAGATTTCTGTACTTAGGAGAAACTGGCTAATACTGGCAGATGGTAAGAGGCTCAATTTTCTTTCTTTTTGCATTCACCAGTGCCTGTTTTGGGAGATCCAAAATCTCTTTTGCTGAATCTACCATCATTTTTATTCTCAATGGGAGTGGAGCTAAGAGCCAATCCAGTCAGTGGTGGTCTGCTGTTGTTCTTCCTGTACGGTGTGTTGCACATTATTTTGCTCTCCTGAGACCAGCATTAAATAGCTGATATCAATCATTGCCCTCCATCCAGAATCACTCAGTTTGAAGACAGGGTTACTGATGCACAGATAACCTTGTGCTGGAGTGCACAGGAGAGCAGAATTCAGTCTTTAGATATTGCTTCCTATACATAAAAAGGAACAGAGCTGTTTCTTGTACTTAGTTGTTAAAGGTAAGGCAGAGATCTGGCTTTGTCATTGTTGATAAAAAGGACATCTCCTGAAATTATTTACAGGCACAGAGAAACAGAAGTAGTCATGATAGGGATATAGACGATTTAAGTGTTTCGGAGGTATTTGAGAAAGGCTTTGTCTCAGAACATCTTTGTATTTACTAGCAAGTTGCTTTCATAGCTGAAAAATATGTATGTACTGTAGTATTCACAGCTATATTAAGGGACCAAAAATAAAAGTCATGCTTCATTTAGAATTTGTATTTATTGTACAGAACACAATGTGAAAATAAACTGAAGGATAAAATGGTTATTTTCTTTTTCAGTTTACCTTGTTTATAGTTCCCAATTTAAACAACAGATGGCATTGCTAGGAAATTTCCCGTTTGTAATAAAGTGGAAAAACGAATCATTTTGCTCTATTCATGCATGTGCTATGGATTCTGCATATAGATCAAATAGTCTCACCATTATTTTGATTAATTGATCATTCATGTCTGATGCACTCGAGGGAAGTAGATTTTATATAAGCACTAACTCACTAATTAGTGAGAGAAAGTTGATTGGGCACAGATAATGAGCTGATACAACCTTGAATGTCAAGCCTGGGCAAAATCAAGAAAGAAAAACACAGAGTGGAACCCATATGCCCTACTTATCAAGGGGCTATGAGTCACGTCACTTTTCTACGATGGATGGGAAGAGTTACAGGTAAGTGAGATGGTATAAAAGTGTCCAGTCACTACAGAACTCCATTTGTTGTAAAGAATTGCTACCTCATTTACTGCCCTTCCTCTCGATTTGGCTAATTTATATTATCATGAAGTCCAGAATCTTTGTTATATCAAATGTTGTGACATTTTATTGAACGGATATGACGCAGATGAATTCATTATGCTGCGTAAAATTTGTCATCAAGAGGGCTGATCAACAGATTGTCTGTGGTGAAAGTCACAGTCTGTGTGAGAACTGTAGTTTGTGCTACTATATGCACTAGTTTGCAGATTGTGTCTTGTGGGTTTCTGTCCCATTCCCCATGTTCATTTGTCTCTGAGCACCTGAAGCAAGTAAGTGTGTCCAAGGTCATACACACAATGTTCATTGGGCCTTCAATTTAGTGAGAAGGGCATTCACAGCATAACTGTCACATTTTCATCTTACAAGACTGTTGTAACCGATGCAGCCTGAGGACATGCATTGTCTTGCTTCAGTCTTGTCACATTAGAGTGAGCCTGCAGGAAAGACGGTCACTAAGGTCCCAGGACTTGATCAGTGTCATATCATACAGTCAGGCTGGTTATCAATCGCTATGAATGGAGTTCTGTAGTTACACTCCTGCCCAGACCTCAGATGAACTAGGACGTCTTTATTGATTAG